CCTCTTATAGGTCAGAAGATGTCGAATAAATATTAAACCTTTTGACTATAACGCAAAAAAAAAACAAATAGGTCTTGTATTTGTTACTCGAGATAGCCTATTAGCAAAGCCCCAACCCGCATCCATTCTGGAGCTGTCGAAGGCCCCATCAGAATAAAGTTTGAGCTCTCCAGGTGCCGGCCCGCACCACTTCCTATGCTAAGGAATTTTTGACAACACAGGTAATTTGCCTGGCTCCTGAAAATGGTCGGTCACGAAAGCTGATATATAGGCTATTTGTGCGCATCAGTTCTTCTTCCTCCTCCCTCCCTCCACTTGTTTTGCTCACTCCACCACAACCACAGCAGCATACACAGTTAGCCGTTTCTTGCCCGTCATTGTGAACATCATTTCAATCGTCTCCCTAGCTGAGCCCGCACCAATCAGCCTGCACCTCTCATCTTCTAAATTCAGCTTCCTCCAGATTTTCCTGACTTCCTTTCATTTCAGCAACACATGGCCGGCCGTCTTCACCAAACCTGCCACACACTCAGCATCTTCTTGTGTCTAGTTGCATCCCCCTCTGCTGTAACACTTTCCTCATGGCTAATGTGTTACGACTTAGCCTCCACAGGAAGTGTTTCACCTTGGGTGAGCAGTCCAGATTCCATAATTTTTTTCCAGAAGTCAAATTCACCACCGTTATTTTTTTTTTCTCGAAAACACAAGAGAATTGCGTTTCATTTTCATTAAGAGAAGAGAGTTTAAGTTAGAAAATAAAACCGGCCTTGCCGGGGTTACATTGGTGCTACATCTTAAAGCTGAACCAATAGGAGGCAGGAACTGGATCAACTCAGCCTATTGATCTGCTGGCTAGCGCTCCCAGTCCTCTTGCTCCCGCATCAATCCATCGATTTGCAAGAAGTCGCTGATTCTGGTTTACGCGCCTCTGAAGCATCTGCGCTCTTTCAAAATTTGCCATGACACCAGTGCAAACAAGGAGTCCATGCCCTTTTGTTGCTCGCCATTGCTTAAGGCTCGCAGGCGACGCCACCAGCTTTTCGTCGATGGTGCTCCTTGCGGCAGCTGCTTACCGATCGCTTGCAGGATGTAAAACCAAACTTCTCTGGTGAACGGGCACTTGGCGATGATATGATCAATTGATTCCGGCTCCTGATCACAGAGAAAACAGAACTCCCTCGCCTCTAGGCAGCAATTCACCACCGCTATTACCTGCTCCATTTGCTCTTCCTCTTTGTTTGTCTTCTGCTTTCAGCTGCTCTATGAGCTTTGTACGCCGACTTTACAGAGAAATGTCCTTTACTGTCATAGTGCCAGCCGACCACATATTCCATTTCAGCGTGCACTAGTATTGCTCTAATGATCTGAATATCCTCCTCCCAAAAAGTTTGGTTCAGTAGCTGAACATCCCACTGTCCCGTTGTCGGGTCTATCAACTCTTCCACTGTGGTCAGAAGGTTTCGGCCCTTTGGGGTAAGCCACGGGTCACTCCAAATATTGATTTGCTGCCCATTCCCAATTCTCCAGATTATGCCATGTTTCGAAGTTTCCACTTCTAGGATTATGCTCCTCCATGTATACGAGTAAAGATATACGAGCACCCTTCCTTCGCTTTTGCCTTTTAAAGAAAGTTTCATAGATATCTATTTATAAAAATAGTTTTCAAAAAGGCCTAAAATGCAAAATTGTCATTGCTTTCCCGTGCACTTACGAGAGAGTGTGTTTTGGAGATCAATAATGCTGTGGATGGGGCGTCCGTTTTATCCGGCCACGCGTTGGTGGGCCCCGACGCCCGAACAGCTCAATAGGCAACATTGCCATCCGCAAAATTGCCACTCTCACATTATTATCGAATCGTTGTTGTTTCCCCATCCATTCTCGAACCAACTCTCCGCCCCCGCATCGCCGTGGCCGCAATGCAGCAACGTGCTGCACTGTGCCCGAGCGCCGCCATCTGCTTTCCTGTCTCCCCACCGTCACTCACCACTCACCACTGCCGAGTTTTTTTCGAGCCGATGGGTGGTCCCACGATGACGTCCATGCGTTTCACCATGCCTGCCTATACCCTTTCCACTCGCACCCGCGCGCTTGATGGCTACCGCTTCCCCACCGTAGACCATACTCACGCCATATTTTGTTTCGTGTTTTTGGTTGTTTTCAAGTGTGTTCATCTGTATGTTGTAACGGCTATATACGTATGTTGTAAGTATATATTTCAAGTGTTTTAGCTGTTTCAAGCATATGCTTCACGCGTTTCATCTATATGTTTTATGTGTTTAATCTTAATGTTGCAAAAAGATTTGATGTTGCAAGGGCTCACGTATGTTTCAGGTGTATGCTTCACATGTTTCATCTGTTTTAGACGTATGTTGCAAATTATGTTCCAAATGTTTCGGCTGTTTTTTGCGCATGTTTCATGTGTTTCATCTAGATGTTGCAATGACTATACAAGTATGTTTCAATAGTATACCGTATTTGTTGTAATAGTCGGATGGATGTTGCAGAGGAGACGAGACATTAGGACGCGAAGAAGGGACGCCACCGCGGCGGAGATAGAATTTAGGGATGGCGGCGCCAAAAAGGGGAGAAGCGCGGCGTAGCAAGGGGAGGAGCGCGGTGGGTTTGACGCCAGGGACGCAACTAGGATGGGGATCTAGTCGCGGATTGTCGGACGCGATTCGCTAAGCGTGGATATCATCTAGTATGGAGATGTCTCGATCGCGAAGCGTTTGTAGGCGATGTGGCGGAGCCAGATTTATACTCGAGGGGGGCCGCCGTCAAGGCCATGCCCGCCCGGCTCCGCCAGTGGTTGTAGGCCCAAATACTTTTTAACGATTCCACTACATGTCAGCTCGATGTACTATTTAGAGAACTGGTCTTGTTTCTTGCCTTCCGATTGGATAAAGAGAATCACCCAGGTACCTTCTCTCAGAAAAGAATCACCTAGGGACCTACCGTTCTACGCAGCTAGCAGTCCGTGGCTGTCTTCGATAGGAGGCTCATCATGAACATAGTGCTTATATTTTTTAATAGAGAACCTATATAAAATATCTATTTTAGGTGTTAGGAGAGACATAATCTAAATATAAATATTATCTCTCTTGAAGACTCATTTGTAGAAAGGATTGTCTTTTGAATCTTGTTGTTGGAGAAGATCAAAAATAGATATTAATCATTTGCCTATAGCACTATCAAAAAATGAATGAGTCTTCTATTTTGGGGCGCGGTTGTTGAGACAGTCTGACGGACCGCTTCACGCTCGCCGGCTGTTGCACTCTCTAATCCACAATCCGTGGTGCCGCGCCGCTTAAGCTGCAAGGGCTTCTTGGTGTCTCGTCATGGCTTATCAGCAACAGAAGGACGGCAAGTGCAGACCAGCAGGATGTTTATTTGCCTTTTTTATTCCTTGCTTCTGAACAAGAGCTGCATGCTTGCATCCTTAATCATTAACTGCATGTTAGTATAATTTCCCTCTTGATACTTTTCCACCAAATTTCCTATTTCATATGATTTCTAGTATTACAGATAATGACTAACCTGCAGTTTTTTTTAGCACAGAGAAACCCATTTCGGAACTTTTCAAAATAAAAAGAGCACCTCCAATTCTTGGTCCCTTAGGCCTTAGTTGAAATGGAAGAAAGGCCTTAGTTGAGTTAGAACAAAGGCACTTGTCTGAAATATGTGTACGTTTGGATTTACATTAGGCAAATTGGCCTCCCCGCTTAACTATGCAGCTAGCTCCGCCACTGGTTGCAGGCGGAGCTGTGTCCTGACACGGTTCTGGGATCGGACGTCCATGCGCTAGCCTATACGTCGGAGATTCTCTGAACGAAACTCACGATACGGATGAGTTTTGAGTCCACCAGGCGCTTAACGAACCGACTCCGACGCGCTTTACGGAACAACTACGAACATGCACCAATCCATACGCCTTCAAGTTCAACAATTAAAAAGACTCTTTATATCTTTCCTAGTCTACAGTAATAGAGATTTTGATAAAAAAAATACCCTCCAAAAGCCTCTTCAATTGGATATCTAAGTATGGATATCATTTATTTCGGATTTCTCGCTTGCCAAAGATGAAGAGCAAGAATGACTCTGTAGACTGCGTACAAGATATAGAAAAACTGTTGGAGTGTACAAAGATATAGAAAATAATTTTTATTCAAATAACTCTCTAAATGATAATTTAGAGAATTGTTTTTAGAAAGACTACTGGAGAAAAAAAATCAACAATTAAGGCCCTGTTCGGTTCCGCGTATAAGTGCGTTGGTGACGCGCACAAGCCAATAATCGCACCACGGTTCGTGACAAAGGGCTCAACGCGAATGCGCGTCTGCGTTGGACGGTTGCCCGCTGTGTTGGCCGAATCGCAAGCCCAAGGCAGCGATTTGGAAAACGCCCTCGCGTTTCCTACCACACCCCTCCCTTCTCCCGTGCTCTCGCCTCCACGCGAGCCGCGCCTCACCTCCGCGCGAGATGCTCAGCGCACCACCCCTCCCCTCCGCGCGAGCCGCAGGCGGGCCTTCACTGCTCGAGTCGCCTGGCGCGCCGCCCCTCCCCTCCCCTCCGCTCGAGCCGCTGACAGCGCGCCCCTCTCCTCTGCGCGAGCCACTGGAGCGCCGCTCCTCCCCTCTGCGCGAGCTGCCGGCAGCGGTGCCCCTGCCCTCCACGCGAGCCGTCGGCGAGAGGCCGACTCCCTCCGAGCTCGTGCGTCGATCGAAACTCTTATTTGGGTCCAATTAAAAGGCTATACACTCACAGAAATAGTAGTAAATAGTGCTATGCAGTTTAAGAAAAGTTCATGATTCCAATATAAAATATCATACCAAACGCTCCACTTATTTAGATAGCAGATTTTCTAAATCACGGTTTATCCTACGTGCAACTTATAAGCGAGACTCCCGTGAGCTGAATCAAAAGCGCCGGCTACTTGTATCCCCTCGCGCGATCTTATCTTGTCCTCCGGCTAGCTCCCTCGCCGTCGCCGGCGCGGCAAGATGGGCGAGCGCAAGGTGATAAACAAGTACTACCCGCACGACTTCGACCCGTCCAACGTCCCGCAGCGGCAGCGGCCCAAGAACGAGCAGACCAAGGTGCGGATGATGCTCCCGATGACCGTCCGCTGCGGCGCCTGCGGGGTGTACCTCGGCCGGGGCACCAAGTTCAACACGCGCATGGAGGACGTCCCCGGCGAGAGGTACCTCGGCGCGATCCGGGTCTTCCGCTTCTACATCAAGTGTTCGCGCTGTTCCGCCGAGATCGCATTCAGGACGGACCCCAGGAACTCGGGCTACGCGCTCGAGTCCGGCGCGAGCGCCACGCGGGACGACGCCGCGGCGCGCGAGGAGGAGGAGGAGGAAGAGGAGCGGAGGCGGGACGGCGGGGACGCCATGGCGGCGTTGGAGCGCCGGGCGCGCGACGGCCGGCGCGAGATGGACGCGGACGCGGCGCTGGAGGAGGCGCGCTCGCTCAATGCCAGGCGCGCCCGGGTCGCGCCGGAGCAGGCCCTCGAGGCCCTGCTGTGCCGCCGCCGCAGCCAGGCCAAGACAGTGCAAGAGCAGGAGCAGGACGCAGACGAGGCGCTCGTCAGATCCATCCGTTTCCGCAACTCCGCTGGGTACATCAAGCGGATCGAGGAGGACGATGACCGGGAGGAGGAGGATGTCTTCACGGTCTCTGTGCCGAAAACCATGCCCGACCACCAAGCGCATAAGGAGAAGCGGCGGCAAGCTCCCGTGGTTATTGTTTCCAAGAGGAGATGCGTGCCGACGGTACCAGAGGGCAAGTCACACGACGGCGGTCACGCCGACAAGTCGGAGGGTAAAGCATCTGCCGGGGACACGGAGGCGAACAGTGGCGCTCTTCAGGTGCTCTGCTGCAGCTACGACAGCGACGACCAAGAGGAGACCTGATGACTGATGGTGATTACTCATTTACTCTCTACCTCCTACTGCGAAGCAATCCAGCAATGTCGATGCTCGCACCGTATGTATTTTTGGTTTCTATACAGGCAACAATCATGTATAGAAGAGATGCTTATTGCTGATGCTGATGCCGGTGATGTTTGTGTTCTTATCTTCGGCGGCACAATGGAAACCATGATGAGAGAGCAAGCAAGAAAACGCTGATGGCTACCATGCAAAAGCTGCTGCATTCTAATATGAGCCTGAGTGTGAATGCTTGTGCTTTGTTGTGTGAAAATTTCTTCTTTCTAGAGCCGACGAACTGCTCCTGCATCTCAGATTTCTACTGTTCTTTCTAGTACTCGGGGGCTGCAGCATGGTGGCCCAGATATGTGCCGAATAAATTGTTCTACGTATTGTTTCGACCTGTCTACCTAGTAAGTAATGACAGGTTGATTCTGAGCTTGAAAGTTTGATTTCTGTTCGGGTTTCAGTCCAGCTATAAGTTTTAGTTAGCTAACCATGATCATTGCCAAATGGTGAAGCGATTGACTATTCCCAGAAGTAAATTTTAGTAAGTTCGAATCATGTGTGGTTACATGATTCATATGGTGTATTTGATCACAAAACCATGTAACAATTTAACGTTTTTGGCTTAACTGTGAAACTGTAAGATAAAATTGTGCATTGAGAATAAGCCGAAACACTGTTCTGGCTGATTTGTTGTGAGAGAAAAACATTGTTTCGGCTGAAAAAACAAGTTAAAAATATGAATTATAAGACAAGCGAACAGGATCAAGAGGGTTATTTTATTTATAGATCCAAACATGTAAAGCTTATATGGTACTTCTAAAAACAGCGCAACAAAACACACTACCGAGACAGCACGTCAGTTTCGTCCCTAAACTTTTTAAAATAGTTATTTTAGTCCTTAAACTCTTTTTTTAGGCTCAACTTCATTCTATAACTACGAAGACGATTGTTTTAGTCCCTATTAAACTTTGTATTTTAAGCTCAATTTCATCTATAAATTATCAAAGTGCATTTCGGTTTTTAAACTTTTATTTTTAACTCAACTTTATGTATCCTAAAAGAAAACTTTATATTTTAGACACAATTTGATTCATGAATTATAAAATGTATTTTGGCTCAACTTCGTCCTATTGTCCCTAGCATTGTCTCAGCTACTGAATCGGATAGCACACTTTCAACATTTATATTCATATTCTAAAATGAATATAAATATAGATGGATTGGCACACGTTCAAAGCTAAGGAAAAAGTTATACATCTGCTGTTGTTTCATTATATCTATGTATTCTTAAGGAACAAATAGCGTTAGAAGCAACTGTAATCGCCCCCAAAAGAACATTTAGTCGGATATATATAAACGATACCGTTATAAGGTAACATTAAAAATAACTGTTTGGAATTATTAATGGCCACTAAAGAGTTTTTGGATGAATATTACTCTTTCTATCTCCAATTGCTAGTGGTGTTGGAGCGGATCAGGTGCAACAGTGTAGCGTTCCATATAGGATGATAGATAAAGTTGAGTTGTAAATAAAAGTTTAAGGCTGAAATATAATTTGATAGTTATTGATGAAATTGAGCCCAACATGCAAAGTTTGAGGATTGAAACAATCATCCTTGTAGTTTTGGGATAAAATTGAGCTTAAAAATAGAGTTTGAGGACTAAAACGTCCATTTTAAAAGCTCAAGACGAAACTAGACCTCGAGTAAAAGTTCAGAGACAAAACGGCTATTCTGAAAAGAAAAAAAAAACGTTCCAGTGCTTTCTTGTTTTAGTTTGTGGCCCGTCCGGCCCACGTAACCAAGCCGCCATCGGGCCCGGGTCCGACCCCAATAATCGTCGCCCACCACTCGATAGCGGGCGCGCGCGCGCACACACGAAAAGGCCGAGCCCAACGCGCCTCCGAACCACCGACCCAACCCAGCAGATCCACCTTCTTCCGTGTTTCCCCAACGGCGCTGCGCTACCCCTGTCGTCGTCTTTCCGCACGCATCCGAGCGCCGCCCTCCCCAGCCCCCAGCCTCCCCCCTTCCCTTCCCCTCCCCCTCCCCCTCATCTCCGTCTCCCGCGCCGCCGACCTAAGTAGGTTAGGCTTTAGGGTTCCGGCAAGATGGGTGAACGTAAGGTGCTGAACAAGTATTACCCGCCGGATTTCGACCCGTCGAAGATCCCGCGACGGCGGCAGCCCAAGAACCAGCAGATCAAGGTGCGCATGATGCTCCCCATGAGCATCCAGTGCGCTACCTGCGGGACATACATATACAAGGGCACCAAGTTCAACTCCAGAAAGGAGGACGTCATCGGAGAGGTATGCCTGATACTCGTCCAGACCATTACAAGCACGGTCGCTAATTGAAATCTCTGTGGGCACTGGTTGGTGCCTAATTTCTTTGCAAATTCTGCATTGCTCATCTGGGAAAAAATAGTATGCCTGGCCCTGCTTGTTCTGATCAGGGCCAAATGCGCTAGGAGCAGATTGTTGGATCCCTCGCTACTGTTAGGCATACATATATCACATGCGTATCTGTGGCTGGTAGTTTCATGCTGCTAAGCAAATAATTTGCTACCCACCACATCCACACCATTTTTCTTAATGAAGTCATTGTGTTAGCTGGTGATCTGCTGTATGTTTTGTTGATGTTCTCTTCCACGATCTAGCTGTACACAAACAGAAACGAAATGAGTGCCTAAAAACTGGCAGTGATTGTGGAATCCTGGTGACAAGAGTTCGGTTTTAGTACATGCATCGGTTGTGGATGATTCAACCATCAACAGGGTATCTAGTGCTCTACACATGGGTTGTGAACAATCATTATTAGAGTGGTTCGGTGTATATAAGAAGAAGGCTGTACCATTGCTTGCTGAGTACAAGCAAGTAGAACAGATGAAGTATCATGAGCTCCAGTAAAACACTTCCCGGCTTCATAAAATTTATTGCTATAAGCTATTTGAATGGACCATATGCTAACTCTGAAATAACAATGGCAGAAATAAGAGGTGATAGAATTAACATGGTTGCAGCACTGCAGTACTATGAAGATGCAGCATGTAATTGTGATTCTAGCTGTATAAATTGATTAAATTCGCTAGGTAATTACTAAAAAAGGGTTTGAAAATTAGACTCTTGTACAGTTGTACTATTCAATTCACAGTTTTGGTCCACCAGTGTATATGCTTACATGAAATCTGAACAAAAGCTGGCATCCATTTCAATCTCCCATTGGTCTCCTAGCTACATGTCCTGTCTTCTATATTTATTCTAGAGTAGTTTGAGGAGTTTATGTATGCCAGTTTATATCGGATTTTTGTCAGTCCTGAGTCCTTATTTCTAAAAGTGCTCTGCCTGCTCTTCTAGGTTCTGCAGTGTTGATAGCTTCGCTATTCTGCATCCTATATTCTTTCTGCTCAGCGCTTGCATCTCTTCATTTAACTAAGCATAATAGCCTTTTCATAGGCATCTTTGTGCTTTTGAATTTACAACCATGGTTTGAATTTATTTTTCATCATTGTATGGCCTAGCATAATGCTTTATTTGGTTGTCTGTTGTCTTGGAACTGTGGAATTTCATGTGTATCAACTAGTGGGTATTTTGATTACTGATTGTATGCTAACCCATTGCTAATGCTAGTTCCTTCTTTTGGGCGCAGACATACTTGGGAATACAAATATTTAGGTTTTACTTCAAGTGTACTAGGTGCTCTGCTGAGATCACATTCAAAACAGATCCTCAGAATTCTGACTACACAGTGGAATCGGGGGCTAGTCGCAATTTTGAACCTTGGCGTGAACAGGATGAGGTAAGTGATTTTGGGGCATATTCGAAGGACAAATTCCATGTTCCAAGCATATAATCTTCAATTTGATCACCATGATGCATATTCTTTTGTTCAGGCAGCAGACAAAGAAAAGAGGAAACGAGATGCTGAGGAGATGGGTGATGCAATGAAAGCGTTGGAAAATAGAGCAGTGGATTCAAAGCAGGATATGGACATTCTTGCTGCTTTGGAAGAGATGCGGTCCATGAAGGTTGGATCTAGTTCTAGGCCACTAGATGTTTTGTAGTTCTTATTTCATCGGATTTTGCTGATTACTAATATTATTTTCTTGTGCTGTCTACAGTCTAGACATGCTGGTGTCTCTGTTGACCAGATGCTTGAAATTTTGAAGCGTTCTTCTCATGATAAGGTAAGACCTTAAAAACAGTGTTTGCTTTATCATGTTTTAATAAATGTCTGAAATAAAACATTCCACATTTTCGTTGTTTAGAATAACTTTATGGCTACAGTGTAGTTTCCTACGCTCACTAACATCGATATTCTTCGTGCAATACCAGGAGGAAAAAGCAATTGCAGAGCTTGATAAAGAAGATGAAGAACTTATCAAATCAATCACTTTTCGAGTAATTATCTATCTCTGCATCGCAATGCCGATTAGTGCCATCATGTATAACATGTGCATGGAGGGTGTTACCTTCTGAAACTGCACCTTTTTAAGTGTTTCCAATTAAAGCAACTCCTTTTGACGTGATTCTATTGCTTAATGCAGAACTCTGGATTTTATGTAAAGCGGATAGAAGATGACGATGACGATGATGATGATGACGATTTGGTCCCTGGCCAATCGAGTAAAACAATAAAGGTATCTGATTTTTTTTTCGCTGCTATTTTGTGTTGATGTTTATATCCCAACTCATCAATTAGGGTAAGATACTAAGATTGCATATGATAATATATATTACGGCCCTTGTTTCCGTAGCTCCAAGAAATCTTGGATCTGGAGCTGGAGGTAACTTGAGAATATTTAGATGAACCATTTTGTTTATAGTTTGTTTATAGTTTGGACTCAATACAAATATTTAATACACTTTATTATTAGTTTACAAACTGTAGGTCTAACTTGGATTTCGGGGCTGGAGCTATGCCAAAATGGCCATGTGTACCATTAATTTACAGTTCAATTACTTGTAACCTAAAAAA